TTAACCTCACCACCACCGGTGACTTCGCCGATGATAAAGCCATCCTGGCTCTTCACCATGACCCTCTCGAGGCATCCAGCAGAATCCAAACCCACCTTGACATCCCCTCGACATGGTTCAAACTCAATGAATCCAAATCCATCCACTGCACATTCACTCTCAGACCAATAAGCTGTCCCTCTATCACACTCAGCAACCAACCTCTCCCGACCGCTCAAAATGTCCGTTACCTAGGCTTATGCCTATAGATCGTCGACTTACGTGGGCTACCCACATACGTAACAAACGACTTGTACTAAATAATCGTCAAAGACAACTTCGCCTCCTCATATCATCCAAACATCTCTCACTACACAATAAAATCCTCATGTACAAAGTACTCCTCAAACCTATTTGGACCTACGGAATCCAACTCTGGGGTTCAGCCAAAGACTCCAATATAAACCGAATCCAAACATTTCAATCCAAATGCCTCAAACTAAAGCCCCTTTTTATGTTACAAATGATACCCTCCACAGGGACCTCCTCATTCCGACAGTAAAAAACGTCGCCAAAACCCTATATAAACGTTTCCACCTTAAACTTTCAAATCACCGAAACCCTCTCATCTAAAACCTATCTTCCCGAACAATCCCGGGCGACCCTGGCCGACGTTTAAAGCGTAGTTGGTGCCGTGACCTACTAGTCGACTAGTCCACCATCCCGTTACGAAGAATGAATAGCTATTCTTCTTCAAGCCAACCACAACCAATGTCCTATAACATTATATTGTATTTCCCCTCGATTTTGCTTATTCTAATTATATTTTTATACAGACTGTACAAATAAAAACAAATATGACAAAAAAAAAAAAACTTTATCGCGTTTGAAAAAGTTACTTTTTATAATCACAATAAAACCTATTTATTAAATAGTATAAAATAAAAACAAATGTAGCATATACGCTTCTAGATATTAATAATTTACCTCTGCAAGAAAAATTGAGGAACCATCATGATGGTACTTATGTTTTCCGGTTACTATATAGTACAGTGGAAAAATATTGGATTATACCCCATCGGCTTCCGCGATGATAGACGTTTTGATGAGTCCGTATCGGCTCCGGGGGTACGACCTGTTGCTTTTGATTAACCCTTTCACTGCCAAGTGTCACCAAGTGTGACATGGGGGTGTCTTTAGGTGGATCGGTGTCACGTATATATGACATGATCGTTTTATATGGGATTGATTTTCAACGGTTTATTTCAACAGACATCAAGTTTCCGTGGTATATTCTGACGATTTTTTTTTACAGTGGGTACAAATTTTGGCGACCAGATAGTTATTATTTATATTTTTTAATTCGGTCAAAAACCAATTTTTGCGTGGTTTATTTTGAAGAGCACTCGGATTTACTCTACCGCCGTCTTGAACGTCTTAAGTTGTAGCCTCGTATTGCTTCCCACGAGTTGGATACGTAATGATCCTCTTGTGGCCACTATCGAGAATGTCAGAGAACTATTTGTTTTCTCCACAAGCAACATACCAAATTCACTTTTAGAAGAACCAATCATAATATGTACTTTTAATATTAAAGTGAACTCACCTATATTTTATCAAACGTTATGTCAACCGTTTTATCAATCGTTACCAGCTGTATCCCTACGTTGGCTATTTTATGATATTTTTATTTTCATAGTCATGACTTCATGAGTGATGTGCGAATAGTTGCAATTTAAAAATTCTTATAAATTGTATACAAATTAAAATATTGTAAAAAGCCACTGTAGAGATACAGGTAATTTTCTAACTTAAAATTTGATAATACATGTGCAAACGTATACATTATTACTTTCCATGTCAATAATTGAATTTGTTGTTCAGCATAAAAATTAAAGCATATTATACACAATAACAAATTATACACAGGACTGACCAGTTTGGACCAGAGCCCGGGTGTGACCTGGACCGTAGTTATACGTATATGATGTAGAGTGTGAACATGTTAACTATATGTAATATGTATATTATATATGACTGTGATAAAGACGCGTAATCGCCTGCAGTTGAAGATTTTTCTGTCGGTAATGTTATATATCCAGAGCATATTTTTAAATACAATAAGTACGTGGCACTAGTGCCCCCCCCCCCCAGCGATATTTGAATGCTACCCAGTGGCGGTGGTGGATCGTGCCACTGACCAACACAATGTGTTATGAGAATGTCATTCTCATAACGACCGATGCCAATGTCAATTATTATGCACATAATATATTATAAAGAACATAAAACTATTTTAAGCTCTTGATTCTTGTACATATAGTTTATCCCATATCATATAATGAACAATAATATTTTATTGAATGTAGAATAATATGTGACATTCACACAATTATAGCTCTGCCGGATTTGTTTATATATATATATATTGATATAAAATACGAATAGATGTAATACGAAAATAATACACTTAATTTATGTTTTTTACTTTTTTAAATGACAACATAGGGTTTTAATTTTATATTCTAAAGTAGAATATTTTTCTTAGTATTTATTGATACATTAAAATCGAATTTGAGGCGAGGATTTTACGAGTTATAAGTACTTAAAGTTTAGACGAGCGGAGTGGAGTGGTTCGGGGTTACCCCGCGAAATATGTTTGTCCACTTCACCGCTCATCAAACTTTGAATATTTATAACTCATAAACTACTCAACCCAAATTCGATTATCATGTATCAAAATACTAAGAAAAATATTCTGCTTTGGAATATAAAATTAAAACCCTATGTTGTTATTCAAAAAAGTAAAAAACTTAAAAAATTATAAGGATAAAAAAATATAATTTTTTAATAAAAACGTTGTTTTATAAGCGACTTGAAACTATGTAAAAAAATATTTTCAAAAAAATTTACACTTTTTGAAATAATGAGTGTTGTTTGATAAAAGAATCACCCAGTATATGTTATTACATTTCTAATTTTCTACTTATTTGCGTCCTGTGCTCCTGATTAATAAGACACGCGACCATACACCGTGCAGGTACATTTTATATTACGCTTATACAATTATTAAGGAGTGTTCATATTTCAAAGCACGGAAATACTTATACTCCTTTGATATGATACCTACTCGGATGTACTTACACCAGTGGCGTAGCGTGTGTACAACAACTATTTCAGTATCTGTAATAGTATAATATATTTTGTGGATTATCTTCATAGTTTGTTGTGATTTGTCGATTGATTTTTATGATTTACCCACAACACCACAACACCGCGTTAAATTCGCCTTTAACCTTAGACTAACCTCGTACTATGTTAGAAGGCGATTGCCTTAGGCACCCGTTTTATTATTGAAAAATCGGTTATATAGATAAAATAATATGTCTCAGTAGAGTTCAGTAAATAAACCTATATAAACATTTTAGATATAATATGTCTCTGCAGTAGAGTTGAGTTAATAAACCTTTATTAAAATTGTTGGGATAGAAGAGTTGAATATTCCCTTCTATGTTCCTCTGGTAGACAATTTTATTGAAGTGGCACCCAGTGAAAATTACATAAAATATGCTCTGTATAATATTATTATTAATATATTTACTTATTTTTTGCAATTTATGCTTTAATTACTATAGTTGTACAGGTATTTCTATTTATATATTTATGTTTTTGAATTATAGTCAGATATATGACGCAATTTCTTACGAAATACCTAAAATATTATAAAAATTGTAAATGTATACCAACTTATTAGCTCTTAATAGTACTCCATCATCACCGATAAGAGGTTATCCTCAGTGGTGATATGGGCCATCTAACCATATTATATATTATAATCATTAATTACTTATCGAAATTGTATCTTTCTCTTGGCAAATAAATATTATTATTATCATTATTATTATTATATATTTACCTACTTACTGCTTATTGTACCAGCTACTACCTACGCTTACAATATATTTACGGCCACGGAAGACCGGAAGCGATGGCATCCGCCCAAAATCGTTCCGAGATAATGTGCACATGCACGCATATGAGGCAGGTACCTTATAACTTTTTATCACACTCCAGGCTGCAGTTAATTCATATAATATTGTAATATTGTTAACATACCCAAGACCTCCTACCTCCTATGCGTATAATATAATATAATAATATTATAATAATTTCGTTTTTTTTTTTTACAATAATATTGTACATAGGTATCATTATTATATGCCTTCCTCGGGCGGCGGGAGACGACTCGAACGCGGCCCGCGATTGGCCGAGACGCCGGCAACCGGTCGGGGGCCGTCGATTGGCCCGCCGGTGTCCGCGCCCACAACTCCGGCGTCTTGCCCTCCGGGGGAGGGGGAGAGGGTAATGCCCACGTGCTCGCTGCTCGCCGGACGCCGCGGCGGCCTTGCACTTCTTCAGTAGTCCGATAGCCGGTCGACCGACGTCTCGCGCGCGCGTTACCTCTCTTCCTGCAATCTCCGCCGTTCTTGTGCAGTATTCGCTGCTGCTTCTGCTGCTGTTGTTGTTGTTGTTGTTGTTGTTGTTGTAGTAGTGTGTGTGTTTGTGTGTGTGTGCGTGCTCGTGTATATGTGCGTGCGTTCGCCAGTAGTCGTTGCCGCCGCCGCTTCAGTATAGTACCACTGCAGACGGTCGTGTCGTATATTATAGTTTTCGCGGTGTTCGTTCGTTCGGTTTTTCGGTTAACTCGTTTTTTTTTTTTTAATTTTATTCGCTATCACAATATTGTATTATATACAATTATAACACTCTACGCTGGGGCCGACCGCAAAGTAAATTTATTATTATACAGACAAATAATATTAAACAAATATTGTTTCGGCGGGACGTATATTCGCCATAACGAGAAGCGAAACATGGGACAAATGTTCGATTGATCGCTTCGTGCACAGCGCGTCAACCGGATAATTTAACCGCGCCCTCCGCGGTATAGTGCGATTTTTGGGACTCACGCGAACCGTATAGGTTTCGGTTTTTGGATCGCGCGACGACATAATAATATAATGGAAACGTGCGTGCTCATACCGAAAGAACTGTCCTTGCAGGCGGTGCCCGTGGCCAACGTGCAGCGGTCCAACAACAACAGGCACCACTCGGAGCCCGAGATCACTGTCATGACCAACGTCAACGTGCCCAGAGGCACGCTCATCTACCCGTTCCAGGGCACGGTGCGCATGGACAAGTTGGACGTTTTCTCGTTCTTGGACGACACAGACGTGAGTGCCTATGAGATCCTACATAATATATAAACCAAAATATACCACTTATATACCAATAATATACGAATACATGTGATTATAATATTATTATCATCTGTTGCTGCGATTTAGAATATATGTATACCGCGATAACGAGCGTGATATATGGAAAGACAAATGTAGGAGGCATAGTATATACCAACTATACAGCTGCAGGTTGCACGCACTTATTGCACCACATACCCCAAAACATTTTTTATTTGTCATTGACTTACAACTAGTTACGTTATATATTATATAGGTAGACCCATATAAATATAAGTAACACAAAATAATATTTTTAACAATTCCAAAATATCTGTATACTGTATAGGTATGTGTGGGCTGCAGTATAAGTATTTTATTACATTAATTTATTTTCGACTATAATAACGTTTTGTCAAATAAATAAAAATGATTAAGTCGTATACCCGCAGCTAATACCTAGGTAAATAGGTATATTTATATATTTTTATAGTAAATAATAATCAATAATTATTAATTTAATTCAGAAAATTTTCTTTCACAAATAATATTAAACATTTTATTTTTTCATTCAAACACCAATCAGTATTTAATGGGGTTTTCAAAATAAAATAAAAAATAACGAAAATTAGGTTATTGGTATAATTATTGTTTTATCAATATAACATTGTATTCGTGTTAGGATGGAAAAATGATACGTCTCGTTCTCTCATATTATGCACTCCACTAGCTGATGCCTAATATTATAATACATTTAAAGAATTTTCGTTTAGTTTCATTTGATTATCGAGTCGTGTCGATATATCGATGAACAATAAATATTCATTACGTCGTATACAATATAAGTATAATTAGTCGACACTTGTAAATAAAACCATTATGTGGTATGAAATTTTATGAGATAACTTAAAAAAAATAAAAATATAGTCATTGGTGTCTCTTAGATGTCGAATCCTCAGTACATTATCCTAACATCGAGAGCATAATATATTTCTTAGTCGTATAGATGTGGATTTATCTTTTGGGCCCACCGTCGATTCAATCGGTCGAATTTTTGCGGTGTCATCGCAGCGCGGTTCAGTGCGTTCGCTGCAGTTTATCCTAATTTAAAAATTATCACCCTACACTTAATACAATAGGTACTACAGCTATTAAGTGTAATGCGTATTTATCGTGTACATCGTTCCCCTATTTGGGTACGCGGTCATGGCGCTGTACACACGCGGATACCCCGTGATTAATTGGCCGTGGGATGTGCGATGTTAATTCTGACGATGGGTGCAACGATGAAGTTAATTTTTTTAAATACAACATGCAACAGGTACATATGATAATAATATTATATACACATTCGTATATGTTTGTAATGATTTTTTAAATGAGTTTTCCTTGTGGGGCTGGCCGCATACTGTTGATAAAAATATTGTTTCATTCTTGCGATACATAACATTATTATATTATATTTTCATAAATTTCATTTTATTACGTATGTAGTTCTGTATTATATCATACTCGTATTATATTTTATCGCATATGGGTGCAACTATAATAATATACTGACGAGAGACGACCGAGGAAATTTCCTTGATGAATCTCTGTCGGAATTTATTGTCATCATTGGACATGGCGTGACGCAATGTTATCTAGCTCATTGTGCTATCGGCTTACCTACGGTTTTTCTCATAATATATTAAAAGAAATATGAAAAAATAAACATTTGCTGTTTAACTATATATTATATATCTATATCCATTGATTGATTCATGAGGAAACAACCGCGCAATGGTATTGTTGTGGTTAGAGGCGCTCCCATTTAAAGCGGAAAACACGTTATTACCCGTTCGCCGGAGACTTAAACGGTGGCGCACTATCATTACTAACGAGTCTTCAAATAATATCATAATATAATGATGTAAAATACAATTTATTACTTTATTATTCTGATAGTGAATATCTCGTGTATCTGTAATAATTACACAAAATTTAATTAAAATAATCCAGTTTTTTTTTTCTCGAATTGAGATACTCTCAATGAGATTGCTTCTTATAATTTAACATAAATAAACAGTTTACGAAGTATTAGAGGGTTATTATAATATAGTTAATTCATCAGAAATTATTATAAATTTTAGAGTAGTTATTAGTTACTATTACTTATTTATAACTACTATATGTTTTGTAAGGAATAATATATTATAACACGTACCTAAATATTATGGTGATGTATGAACAAGACTCGTTTCATATTTTAAATACTAATGAAGTATAAACCATAATTTATTAGGTATTTTTAATACTTATACTCAATTAAATTTATACTTGCAGACGAAAAACGAAAACAGTTCACATTAATTTAAAATACCTAACTAGTTGTAATATTGTTATTGTTATTTACGATTATTTTGATCGCCTAAAACAAGCGACATTCTCAATATAAGTCTGCAGATTTAACGAGCTGTTAAAATATTATTCCATATATACTCATGGCTGGTATAGTAGGTTGTGTTGTCTCATTATAAGGCATAATTCTGTATTATTGTTTAAACAGATTTCATAAATTTACATAGAGATTAGTGACTGAATATTAGTCGTACCGACCGGATTAATGCGCATATATAGTTTTGCGTTAGTTTACTGATTTTAATTAGGGTTTAATTGAGCCATTGTTCTTTTAGTAAAAAGAGAAATTGCCAAGTCTATATATATGACTATTATCGCATGTGTATATGTTTATGTCATCTCATATAGGTGTTGATAACATAGAATTATCAAACTTGGGCCACCGAGGCGAAAAAAAAAAAAACAAAATCGTTTATGAAAAAGTTTTCTCACTAAAACATTCTTCTGCCTTATAAAACATATTATTATATTATAACAATGGTCGCGCGCAGTTTTGTGCGCGTATCAGACACGTTATTTATCCGTTAAAAAAGTGCAATAATTTGAATAAAGCACGCACGCCCATCATATATACACCTAAATATTATAATTGACGTCAAATTATAAAAAACCGGCCTGCAGTATAACGAAAGCCGAAATTATAATTTTTCCGAAAACAATATATATAGCAATCAGCTAGAAGCGCGTGTTATGTGTGTGTGTGTGTTGTTATATATTGTATATATAGTTAACCAGCAGCGAAATCTTACTAGTTTCTCATAATTCTCACACGTGATTACTGTTTTCACGTGTGTACACACCACACCGGTGAAACCGCGGGGCCGGTCATTGTAAACCTGGTCAGTATACCGCGCCAGCTGCAGTGTATTTTTTCCACCAGAAATACACACGTAATTATTGTTATACTTGGCTTATGTGTCTTATGTGCCCATGTGTGTGTGTGTGTGTTGTGTTTCGCTCGAGTTCACGCTGTACACAATAATAATAATAATATAGGTATATGACGAGTGGAGGAGGTAGGTATATATAATATACCCACAGCGTCTAGGCGCATTAGGGGAAGATCGTTACTGAAAGTGTTTAATTCTTTTATCTGGTTTTCACACAAGTTGCGCATAGATATTATTATTAATTGCTCCCCGCGAGGTTTATTATATTATATTATACGAGACTGCACTGTGAATTATTATCATCCATATAGATATAATAATAATATCGTGTGTGCGGCTTTCGAGACTCATGTGTGGCCCCGCCGCCGCCGCTGCTTATTATACTTCCCGTTCCCACGGCAGAATGTTGTATTTTCGTCTTCTTCATTGTAATCGCAATGTGTGTGTGTGTGTGTGTGTGTGTGTGTGTGTGTATGTGTGTGTGGGTGTTTGTGTGTGTATCATATTATATGAATCATAAAATAATAATTACAATTACACGGCCGCCGCGTGTGTTGTTAATTTGCCCGGGTTGTCGGACATTGTTTTGCGCATACAACATAATAGTATAATATAATATAGACAGTATACCTACGTATGTGTATAGGCTCCTGAAACTACACTGTTGCTGCTCGGCGTAGGTTTATGCTAGTAAATTTTTTTTTTGGCAGATCGTTAACCTTATATCATAACCATATATTATAATTTTGGTCTTACACGCGCCATATTTTTGTCGCCGAACCCGCGAGCGAGTGGCGCCCATGATCGGGGTGGGATTTGCACGATTCAGCACGATTTTTTTCAATTTTCAACTCGTTTTGTAGATATGGACTGCGTCGAGATTGAATTTATGTCTTGCGTCATGAGATCTGCAACGTTCGAGTCACTCGTACGTAATCGTCAATTCTTGGAATTTACTATTCGGGATAGGTGCTGGACCGAAAAATCGCCAAGAGTATTTCAATTTTTTTTTTTGCTTTGCACCCGTTTTACCTCCAAATAACACCCATAATATTATGATATTGAGTTCGATATTGGACCGAAAAGCGCGTTTCTTATAGCGACCATCGCACAAATCGTATAAATATTATATTATACGCGTTTTGCGCGGAGCAGTGCGCGGTGGAGGTGCAGTTCGTGGCGATTGTCGTCGGTTCCGGCAGCCATTAAAATACATCTCATAGATCGAAAATGGTCCAATTACCTCGGTATGGCACATTATGTTCCATGTCCATGGCTATAAAACATATCGGATTTTTTTTTCATCGTTATTATTATTATTATTATTTTTTTTTGTCGATGATCCTCGTGTTCTAAATACAGTGTGTCTTCTCTGCAACGCGCGCGGACAATGATAAAATACAAAACACAAAAAAAAAAGCCGCATTGACTCGTGTATGTGTGTGTGTGTGTGTGTGTGGGTATGAGATAGGTTCGATTTTTCACGGTCGGTTCGTGTACACTGTTGGCACGTACCGACACGCCACGTTTACTCGCTCGACGATCTCCCAATATACCTACCTATACGATATTGATAAGGACGCGACTGACCAGAGAATGGAAAATAACGACAACAACAACAACGACTATGCAGTAATAAAAAATAAAATAAAATCACACAGTACGAGAAAAAATACTTTACCGTTTCCATAATGATTTTGATTT